CGTTTGGTCACGAAGGGGGTCAGGGTTTAGGGCCCAGAAAAAAAACCGTTTGGTCACATAGTAAGAGAGGGTTTAGGGTTTAGGGTTTAGGGTTTAGGGTTTAGGGTTTAGGGTTTAGGGTTTAGGGTTTAGGGTTTAGGGTTTAGGGTTTAGGGTTTAGGGTTTAAGGGGGTGAGAAAGCACGCAAGCACGCGCAGGCAAGGTTAGGATGACCATGAGTAGCTGACAGGTAAAAGTGTAGTACCCTGGGGATACTACAATACTACCATTCTATGATTCTCTGATACTACGTACACTAACACGTTGACACTCCAGTACTCGAATACTCTAATAACTCGAATAACTCTGATACTCTAATACTCGAATACTTTAACACTCTAACACTCTGATACTCTGATACTTCCATACTCTAATGCACTAGAATAGGATACTTCTACAACTGTGTTTTTTGCAAGATATCTATAAAACTAATACGTATACCATACTGCTCTTCAACGCCCATTTATGTATAATCCTATATACATACATACATACATACATACATACATACATACATACATACATACATACATACATACATACATACATACATACATACATACATACATACATGCATTTCTATACTGCCATTTTCTTGTCAATTATAATGCTATCTTACTTTCCAAACCGCGTCCTATACGAAGTGGGGCGCTAAATTTGCCGGGGGCCCCTTTCGCAAAAAAAAAAATGACAGGGTTCGGGTTCAGGGTTCAGGGATTCAGGGCTGAGCGTCTAGGTTGTTGGCCAATCACCCCCATGTTTCCTTTGCCATACTCAGCCAGTCTTCTCGTTCGGGTCTCCCCTCCAAGCAACACCCCTGCCCCAGCTACATAGGGGTTAGTAGGGTGCACCCTGACCCACCTGGGCCGGCCCACAAAAACATGGCACAGTGGCGTGCTGTCCGGTGTGGTTGTAATTTCACCCGCCTGGTCGAATCTTCCTTTCCGAGCACCAACGCGATTTCAACGAGCTGGTTACGTGACATCACGGATGATCACACTTCTCTAAGTTATGGTCCCTTGTTTCGAGTACCCTACAAAGAATATGAAATATCAGGGGCCGCCTTAAAAGAGTAAACCCCAAGAGTGACCCTGATGTAGACATTCCCCCCCCTCCAGGGGCGACACTCACTGCGCTGTGCCTCGCAGGGCGGCCCCCGCTTTGGTCTTTATCTGGAGAGCTCTTCGGCTCTCTGAAACCTCAGGACGATGCCCTCGCCTTCGCGCTCCCACATACACAAGACTTAGAGAGAGAGAGAGAGAGAGAGAGAGAGAGAGAGAGAGAGAGAGAGAGAGAGAGAGAGAGAGAGAGAGAGAGAGCGGAGGCGAGGGAGGGGGAGGGGGGGGAGCAGGAGAGGGAGGGAGAGGGAGGGAGAGGAAGGGAGAGGGAGGAGGGAGGGAGAGGGAGGGAGAGGGAGAGGGAGGGATAGGGAGGGAGAGGGAGGGAGAGGGAGGGAGGGAGGGGAGGGAGAGGGAGAGGAGAGAGAGAGAGAGAGAGCAAGTGTCGTGCTTGGGGTTGGGTGAGGGTGAGTTTAGGGTGGGGTCTCCAAATCCACCCCCGGCTCTCCTTGTCGTAAAAGCCCAAGGGAATGGCAAAGAAGGATCCAATTAGCAGACTGCGCGGGAAGAGGCGTATCACGTCCTGCAGGGGCGCATGTCGGCTCCAACGATGCGAACTCAGGAGGCCCAATGGAAGAACTTATTGGTTGCGGTTTCTAGTTTGGCTTGCACGTTCCACGCTTCACGCACCCAAACATAACGCTGCTGGAATGTCTCTGTCCATGCAGGCCCGGAATCCGAAACCTAAGCCTTAGGAGCCTTTATCCTAAACCTAAACCGCACGAGTGGGCGCTGAACGCCGACCAGCGTTCTTGTCCATCAAGCTTCCCGGCACAAACAACAAGATGCCAGACTCACCCAGGGTTTGGTGTTTAGAGTTTAGGGGCAACAACAAGCACATAAGTCCCCCCCCCCAGGCCCCCTGAAACGATGCTGCAGCAAACCAAGACTGCCTGGCACGTTCTGAGAGGGCGCCCTCCCGAAGTTCAACCCTAAACCCTAAACCCTAAACCCTAAACCCTAAACCCTAAACCCTAAACCCCCAAAACCCCTGGACCTGGGGTCCTCAGGATCCTCGCTGGTTGATTTTCTGACAGCCTCCGTGCTCTCTTGCGCCGGCAACGACATCTCCTGCGATACTGGGTTTCGGGTTTAGGGTTCAGGGTTTGGGGTTTAGGGTTTAGGGCATAGGGCATAGGGTTTAGGGTTTAGGGTTTAGGGTTTACGGTTTAGGGTTTAGGGTTCAGGGTTCAGGGTTTAGGGTTTAGGGTTGGGGGTTTAGGGTTTAGGGCTCAAGGGTGAGAAGGGGATCCTGGCTGGCAGGCGTGCTCTGGCCGTCCACTCTACACAATGGCAACACGAAGCTCCGAAACTCCAAGCAGAGAACAGCCCGTAAACCTTCGAAGCCCTTTCCGAAGCCCTTTTCCTAAACCCAAAACCCTAACCCTAAACCCTAAACCCTAAACCCTAAACCTCAACTGGCACCTGCTCCGCCGGCTCAACCTCGAACACGGTGTGCTGCCAAAGGCGGTCCGGTGAACGTTTGAGGAGGCTGAAAAGGCTTGGGGTCCAGGGTTTAGGGTGTCCAGGGCGGGTTTTAGGTATGGGGCGCCGTCTGGATTGCGAAAAAGGAGTTCGTGCTTTTGAGTTCTTCTGCACCCTTCGCTCGACCTTGTCGCGATACCCCTCTAAACGGCCCTGGCACGAAACCCTGTAAACGGCTCTAGCACGCCACCCTATAAACCCTGTAAACCCGAGAAAAAACCTGTTAGCCCCCCCTAAACCCCCATACACCTTGTAAACCCTCCTAAACCCTCAACCCTAAACCCTAAACCCTAAACCCTAAACCCTAAACCTATGAACCCTACAAACCCTACCCCTAAACCGTGTAAACACCCAGAAACCCGAAAAGCCTTAGACGGCAAGGAAGACGAAGTGGACTCCGGTAGGGATGAGGTGATTGAGGGTTTAGGGTTTAGGGTTTAGGGTTTCGGGTTTCGGGTTTAGGGTTTAGGGTTTAGGGTTTAGGGTTTAGGGTTTTCGGGTTTAGGGCTTAGGGTTTGGGGTTTCGGGGTTTCGGGGTTTCGGGGTTTGGGGGGGTTTCTATGGGCTCAGGCCTTGAGAGCAAAAGAGAAGCCCCTCTTTGTAGGGCTCTTAGGGAAGGGGGGTTCAAGGGGGGTAGGTACCTAGACAACTTCAGGGAAGCTTAGGGGTCCTTAGGGAGTATTCGGGAGCACTAGGGAACCTTGGGTTCCTACCCCCCTTGAACCCCCCCCTCCCTTGCCCTAAACCCTAAACCCTAAAAATTGAAAGCAGAAGAGAAGCCCTCCGGCACGGGGCCTGGCAGTCCGGGGCCGGGCTTGGTACACTCGGCGGGTGCGTTGCCCGAGCGCCCATCACGCGCAGGGCAAACATGCGGGGGGGTGTGGGGGGGGGGGCCTGTAGATTCGGGGGGCAAGTTGATCTGAACACCAAAACCCCAAAAGACACGAAACCCTAAACCTTAAAGACCCTAAGCCTAAAAAACCCTACACCCTAAACCACCAACCCTCTGAACCCTCACAACCCTCCGAAGACCTCTCTCGGAGAATGGGGGCTCGGACAAGGAGGGTCTTGGTAAGGTTTAGGGTTTAGGGTTTAGGGTTCAGGGTTTCGGGTTCAGAGTTTCGGGTTTCGGGTTTCGGGTTAGGGTTTAGGGTTTAGGGTTTGGGGATACAACCCTAAATCCTAAACCCTAAACCCGTGCCGAAGTCCAGCTGCTGATACTTGGGATGTCGTGATGCAGACGATGCTTTCAGGTTCGTCAGATAGGAGCAACGCGGTGATGAAACATCATGGTCACCATGTTCAGAACCCAAAAACTGCGGGAGTACCAGAAACACACCAGGATGTACAAAACGTGATTCGTTGTGTCCTGAACTCTAAACCCTAAGCCCTAAGCCCTAAACCCTCAACCCGCAACCTTCAACCCTCAACCAGTACTTTCAGAGCAGCATCTCCATCCCACATCTTCCCACTCCTGCTGCACATGATAATTAGCACTCAACATACAAGAACTTCGACAAGATGGCCATTTGACCACGACAAGCTCAAAGGCGAATACAGGCGCTGGGCTCTGAAAGTTCCGAAGAGAAGACACGGGCACTGGTCCATTTACGCGCTTAAAGGCACTTAAAGACGCTTGGGCAGAATTCTGGGTGGAATTTGGTGCTTGGGCATATAGGCCCTTAAGAAGGCGCTTGGTGCTTTGGCCTTCTCCCGAGCCCAATACGGAGAGCGTTGGGCTGCGAAGCTTTGTGATTCGTGGCCGCGCCTGTTTTTTTTGGAGACCTTAAGCCAAGCCACCGAATTAACGTGTCCTACGAAAGTCTGAGAAGCTCAGCTCCTTCGTGAGATGTTTCCCCCATGACCCCGCAAGCGAAACCAGCCGCAACAGTCAACTCGAGCTTGGGGTTTAGGATAAGCTTTCCACCCGAAATGCCGCCTAAACCTCACTCCCTATACTTCAAGAAACCCTCGAAAAAACAGCAAGCGATGCCCAAATCTCCAGAACCGAAACACTCAAACTTATAAAACATCGATCTCCGAGAATGACTACCTCTGCATTTGGCTTGTCGCGCAGTGCCCACGTCGTTGCTCTGTGACACATGGCTCTGAGAGAGGGCCCCGTCGGGCCTTGTCACCCTGCGAGCAAACTTGTGGAAACTGCCATCTGATACTCGTTTTCTTTGGCTGCTCGGCTGTATGAACACTGTTGTACAATTTTCCATGCCATGAACACTGTTGTGCAAGAGCATCAGGTCTGGGGCTAATAAAGGGGTGTGAACCCCGGATCTGATTGAAATTTTGCACGAAAAATGCACCAACGTGCAATGGGTGGTGGAAACTGGGGCCCTGACCGGGCTAGAATGAGACTGTGATCAAGTCTCTTGGTGAAACGGTGAAGAACTCCTGACTCTCAGCAGCGCTCACAGGAACACCGCTCATCCTGGGTCTTCGGCCCTCTACCTCGGAGATCTCCCCTGCTTCCGTGCTCGGCGTGCTCGGCGTGCTCGACACACGCCAGCCCTGCGCAAAAAGGCCAATCGTGCAGCCCATCAGCACGAGAAAGGGCAGAACGGGAAGCCAGGAGTCTTGCCTCCAATACCTCTGGTGGGGGGGGGAGGCCGTGGAGGCCCGAAACATATCCCTAAACCCTAAACCCTAAACCCTAAACCCTAAACCCTAAACCCTAAACCCAAAGTGTAAGATATTACAAGCCCCCTGGAGGAGGCTAGTTCGGGAGGGGCTCTGTTGGGGGGGCTCAGGGCGTCGTACTTCTTGGGGCTCTCAGAACCTTGAAGTCGAGATCCCGTGGGGGAAGCGAGGGAAGTTTGAGCAACCCCTAAACCCTAAACCCTAAACGCTAAACCCCAAACCCTAAACCCTAAACCTGGTGGACCGGATCCAAGGCGCATCGACGTGCGGAATGCAGCCCAGAGGCTCCCAACGAAGGCCACAGACACTTGGCTCAGAACCATCCTGGGCCACAGAGGGTTTAAGGTTTAGGGTTTAGGGTTTAGGGTTTAGGGTTTAGGGTTTAGGGTTTAGGGTTTAGGGTTTAGGGTTTAGGGTTTAGGGTTTAGGGTTTAGGGTTTAGGGTTTAGGGTTTAGGGTTTAGGGTTTCAAAAGTGCGGGGGCTCTTGCAGCTGCTTGGGTTCTAGGTTCCAAAATCCGAAAAGCCCCAAGGTTTAGGGTTTAGGGTTCCGGTTTTAGGGTTTAGGGTTTGGGGGACCAATGAAGTTGAGAGTTTGGGGCCAGGTTCAAGTGTAGCTAGGGAGGTGGTTTGCATGTGGTCACTGCAGACCAAGGATCGTTAAACAAAGCTTCCACCTGCAATGCCCATGATGCACGAGGTGATGTCCGAGCCAGGAAAGCGAGAAACTAAAGCGGGAGATGAACATCCCCATCATGATCAGGAATGTAACGTTTAAGAGGACACGAACAGCCCACAAAAAGACATCGGCACCCGAGGCATCGGGAGCAGGCCCTCTGGCCAACTGCCCCACAGAAGCCGCAAGCCACGGCACGTTGGCAGAGCTGGACAGGTAAAAAGCGTAGGCGACGGGAAAATTCCCAAAACCCACCGTCTTCAGAACGGACGGAGCGAGTCGATTTGTGACAAAATCGTTGAACGCGTCAAGATGCTCCTCGCCGAGCCCTGCTGCCCGACCACTCCGACCATACCACTTACGAAGCATGGCGAAGACCAGCGCTCGATCGCATGGGATGCGCTCGCCCGTGTCAGGGCGAACATGCTGCCAGGAGCAGCAGCTGCTCAGAGAATCTTGAACACGGAAGCCTGGGGCACCCCTAAACCCAAACCCGGGACCCGAAATAGAAGCTAACGCCGTGCTTTTGTCGAGGTCCTGGGACATGTCTTTTTGAAAAAAAAACAAACAAAACAGGCCGAGGGCTGTATCGGCTGAGTGGTCAAAAACCGAGAGGCCAACCGTCTCAGACTTCCGGGGTGGGTAATCAGGGACGAGGACACAGCGGCAACGACAGCGATGGCTGAATACTACTACTGAACAATACTAAACACCCAGGGGAATACTTTTTCTATACTTTTTCTAAACACCAGGGGTACTTTACATCTCGTACATCTTGCCGTCTTGCCATTAACTCCCCAACTTTGTCACTTCGCGGCCTTGGAGCTGCTGCGGCAGTTTCTGCAGGTCGTCCATGAGCTGGATGCCGATGTACAGCGTGACTGGAACGAGTGCGCCCGCAATGCCTGTGGTTAAGGCGCCGACAATCACGACGTTCCTCCAAAAGCTTTCCCCAACAGATCCTCCGACTTCCACATCTCGGAGAACTAGAAATTCACCGATGCTCATGATCCAAAACTGCACAGCGAGCACGCAGAGCAGAACCGCTGACGTCACCGGCATCACTGTGACGTGTCTGCCTCTCGCCTTATCCGCGTGCCGGAAGAAGGCGGCCATCTCGTAAGAACACCACCTCGGGGTTTCGAGGGGTTTGCTTCTCAAGAATCGTGAAAGACGAGAAAAGAAGCAAAAAAACAGCAACATCGAGCAGCTCTTCCCCTAAGAAAACGCTGAACACCGCCAAGCTGCAGTCTCCGAAAGTAGGCGGGTGACCACAGCACGGTGAGGTTGTCAGAGCTGTCTAAGAATGCTGCGAGTCCAAGTATCGCTCGCTCCTTGAGCATGGGATCATGCTGAGCTATGCACAGCTTGTCCAGAAAAACCACCCGAGGCCTGACCAGCGCGCGCAGCCTCTGCCAGAAGAGGAAGACCAGTGCGAAGGTTGCGTAACCAGAGCAAGTCACCCAGACCCCATCAGGCACGATGCTCGCTGATTGCAGTATGGCCAGTAGCATGGTCATGCCCGTCGAGGCTATGGCTGCCGCCCGGGAATTAAACAACACAAGCAGAGCCAGGAACTTCTTCCATCCAGAAGTATGCCAGTCGTGGCTCAGAAAATTGTCCAATCGCGCCGTTTGCCGGCTCAGCTCATATGCATGGGTAGCCTCTGAGGAAACCCAATGCCTGCCCCACCTGCTCAAAGCCTGGTGTAAAGGGACGCCGCGCAGCAGGGAAGGCTCAAGTGCAACCGACAAGGAGCGCGTGCTGGACAGTGATTGGACACAGGGCAAGGAGGCCGAGCTGAAGCTTGTCAGCGACTCGTCGCTTCGGGTCTTGGAAACCTCTCCCATACCAAGAGGGGCGCGGAAGTGAGGCTGAAAAGCAATGACCCTTCTTGTCAGGTTGTGTAAAAGGCTTCTGTCCTTGCGTGCCGGGCAGATAAGAACCACTCAAGACAACCGAGGCAACTCTTGTGACTTCTCACACTCCTCACACCCCACCACACACCCTTCAGCACACCCCGGCACGCAAAGCCATGTACAGGGCGCAGCCTAAAACGTTGAGCCTGGCTCAGTTTGAGTCAGAGATATGGGCATACTCTGGGGTTTGGGAGAAATACTACGTCAAGGTGTTGCATCGCAGGATGTAACAATGTACGCACCTTATAGGGTCTAGGGCTAGGGTTTACAGAAAACCTTCATGGATCGCGAGCCCCGCCCCACTACAGGAAAGCCCCCCCCAGCCTCACATCCCTTTCCAAAAGCCAAGGGATGCCAAGACTAATCTTGAATCCTGAATCTGAGATGATTAGGGCCTCAAAAAAGCACATAAGCAAAAATTAGGATAGGGACATCCTATATAAACCCCCTTATAATGAAGCCCAATAAGGTAGGGATATCCTTATAAGATGCTTATGCTTATGTCCTTTTTGGGTCCCTAAGATAAGGGCATTTAAGGGCTGAAGGCCGGTGGGGGCCACACCCAAGTGCAGGCAAAATCGGCAGCCTTGTGTTCTTACAGACGCAGCCAAGGACAAACATGCAAACAGCTCGGCAGAAGCACATTCGCTCAAACCCCAGAAAGACAACAAATCAAAAGCACTGAAAAAGAGTACGTCACACTCGAACACAAGAAGCAGTGGCAAAATCAAGTTGAGAAAACGGACATGCTCGGAAACAAATCCGATGCGCAATCTATCATTCACAGCCATCAGCTGCAAGAGAATCGCGCATCTTTGGCGCTGGGGCGCTACTGGGACGCTGCTTGGACGAGCTCGCACGCACGGCAGGGTTTAGGGTTTCGGGTTTCGGGTTTCGGGTTTAGGGTTTAGGGTTTAGGGTTTAGGGTTTAGGGTTTAGGGTTTAGGGTTTAGGGTTTAGGTTTAGGGTTTAGGGTTTAGGGTTTAGGGTTTAGGGTTTAGGGTTTAGGGTTTAGGGTTTAGGGTTTAGGGTTTAGGGTTTAGGGTTTAGGGTTTAGGGTTTAGGGTTTAGGGTTTAGGGTTTAGGGTTTAGGATTTAGGGTTTAGGGTTTAGGGTTTAGTGTGATGGCTGACACCTGGCAGCTGATGGACGCTGGCAGCTTAGACCCAAGGCGTGCTCACCGCACGATCCTCCCTGAGGGCTACAGTATCTGAGCATGGAAGCCCCAAGGAGTGCCACAGAGTACCAAAATGTGCCTGAATGAAATTTCTATAGTTTGGCTTGCTGGATGGAATGTGCAGCCATTTGCATTTGTATTTCGGCTCGTGTGCATTCCTTGGTACTACGACGCCCTGGGCCAGTGACCTTCCTGCTGTCTTTTGTTTTTCTTCAGGGTTATAAGTTGCATAGGTCTGGGTTGTGAGGAGGCTTGTGATCCATGCATGCAATCCATGTGCAGTCTCCTTTATAATGCTTTTGCTGTGCAGTGCATGCTTTGCTCATGTAGTATACACAGCGAATCCTTCAAATAGAGTATTCAGTCGATCCATGTGCCCATGGTTGGGGTGAGCGCGTGGGTCCCAAATTGAAGGCAGACCCGAAGGCCAAAACCCTAAATCTCAACTTTCAACATGTGCATGATATATTCGAAGGATCCAGGAGGCCCCTGACATGTAGTCTCCTAGTATAAGCTTTTGATCCTGCACGCCCAAAAAACTAGGAGGAAATACATCCTGCCTCCTGTAGTATATATCAGCGAGCTCATGCAAAATGTGCCCTGTGCTCGCTTGCAGCATTCATTGCTCGCATCCGATAGCGATTTCCCTATTTTCTCGACCCCGCAGAGCTGCCATGTCCAGCACGGGAAGCACCCCGGAGCAGCAGCAAGGGGGCAAACGTCCCAGCCACCACGGCCACAGGGTCGGCCGACCCTGCAGATCCCCGGCCCCCACTCCAGGAGGGCGAAAGGTACCTCCGGCCCTGCCGGCACTGTGGCAACACAGCCTACTGGCGAAAGGGCATTTGCTTGCATGAGCGATGCCAGCGATGCAATGCAACCCGGCCATATTCGTCTGTGGTCTGTGTATACATGTGTTTGTATATTCTTGTTGGATTTTGTTAGATACATACATAAATAACATATATGTAACATAGTTTCTAAATGGATACGGTTGCACTTCTTACATCTTATTTGCTGTGGCAGCTGCAACTAAGTTGGCCTATTGCCTCGAGGGCATCGATCTCAACAATGCCAAGCTGTGGGGGGGGGGGGGGGGGGGGGCGAAAGGTGGAGCTGGAAAAAATGCACTACTATGTGGAGGCCAAGCAGAATATAAATAAATACATAAATAATTTCTAATATATATATATATATTCGAATATATACACACATACATATATACATGTCTGCATATATTGCGAAGTCGACCAACCTGCTGGTCTTGCCTTAAGCAGAAGCAAACACAAGCGCAGCCTACGCCCAAGTGCGTCCGGTCGGACCGCACAGCAACCTAAGAGCTACTGCACGAAACTACCATGCACAAAGGCACAAGACTGGCTCCATACTTGAGCCAAAATTGGCATTCATTTGAATTGCAAAACTAAATACGCAAAGTGAAAAGATACAAAGCTACACTGCACTGGCACAAACATGCTACCTGAACAGCATGTGTCCTTCTACCTGCTCACATTCGCCCCTCAGCCGAGGCTCCCAGCGTTCATCTCACACTGACATCATTGCACAGGCTGCACATCACAAATCCAAGAAGGGGGAAGGAGAGGCCGTCGCGTGCGACTCTGGCAGAGCCCGCACATAATGAGCATAGCACGTCCAAACGGACGCACGACGACTGCTCCTAAACCATCCCTTCGTCGCTCCTCACCGTTTGCTGGTAGCTCTACTGTTCCGAGCAGGTTTCTTCAGTGCCACTACTATGGCACACTGCACAACCAATGCCTAAGCTACGGCTACGGCTACGGCTACTCTCCTATCAGACTACACGCTACGGAAGTACCAGACTCAGAGAGAGCCGCGCACGTGCTCGTGCCGCGGGCAATGCTACTCACACGCGCTTCGGTGAGCAAAGCCGCGGCCTGGCAATCGGCCCGCAGCAGCTGCAAGAGCACCATCGTTGCGATGGACCACAAGCAGGCTGCGTGGAGAAAGGCGCAGGGAACGCAAAGGCGGGCAGGTCTCCAACCTGCCGCGGCGTTACGCCCGCAGCAAAAACAGAAAGTAGAATCACAAGTGAAGCAAGGATGGCTGCTACACAGCAGTACTGCAGAGTGGCAAGCAGTACCACTCTGCGCCAGTAGGCCGCAGCTTCACTCAACACCAGCCGGAATCGCTGGCCGTGCCGAAGCTGCCGGGCCCACATTGCTGCTGGAAGCTGCGGCCGCCTCATCAAGGGTCAAGGACTCGGAAGAGACCGCCGTCTGGCCGCAAGTGGCAAAGAGCTTTCGCGTGGTGGAGCTCTGAGATTCCGGCGCCAACCTTAGCTCCTCACCCGTCAAGGGTAAGGGCAGGGTCAAGACCTTAAGCGATCATAAGACACGGCAAGAAACTATAAAAGAATGAGCCACGATGCAGCGACCTTGTGAGCACAACCCAGTGCAGCTTCTGGACCTGTGGTCGAGCGAATCGCGGTCGAACAAGCGCCATAGGACCTGGAGCTTGTGAAAGATACTGCACTCTGGGATTGTTCGGTTACGGCGGCACGGTCGGCGTTTCCAAAGCATCCTCGGCGCGACCAGTTTGCCTCGCCATCAACTCTTTCTTGAAGAACCGCTTACCCGGCAAAACGTGGACGTCCATCGCACTGCCTCGCAATCCTAACATGGACCTCCACCGTGACATCAAAAACCTGCAGGGTCATATGAACCATGCCATCACTCTGGGCGCTTTCATAGGGGGTCGCGTGTGGATTGAAGATGCTGCAGGTGAATCCACGGCTTTGTTGACTGCTAAAAATGAGAAAACTCGAGAGTTACGAGGAAGTTTGACTTGCACGATCGAGCTGTCAGCTTCGATGCACGAGAACGCTTTCACAAAGTCGAACCTCATCGAGGAACCATGGGCGATCGCAGCCTATCCTCCTCAAGCTTTCCTGCGCGCAAACGAAAAATACGACAAGACGTTGATGACGCTGGGTTTTCCAATTCCGTGTCGGAACCTGACTCTAGCACCAAGCGATGGCTGTGGCGACTGCAGAGACCCTGTGGCGCCTGCCACTTCACCACTGTCACTGCTGCCCCAACCACTCCGCCTGCTGCCCTGCCATGCCACAGCTGCCTGCCACTGCTGCGCCTGCTGCTCTGCCACTCACTGCTGCCTGCTCTCTCTCCACAGCTCCTGGGGTGTTTTGGAGCAAAGTTGAGTCTGAAATAAAATAACTTCGCGTGTAGTCCACGTCGTGACCGTAGTGATCCGTAGTGACGTAATGACCTTGTAGTGACGCGTAGTGACCGTTACAGCAGCATCGCGAAGAACTTGGAGCCCAGATTTCGGAGCCATTTCTGGGCCCACTTGCGGGCAGAAACCAGATCTGAAGAATAGCAAGAAGCACGTGCTGCAAAGTGTGAACTCATTTGGAAACCGGAACTTTCTCCAACAGTTTTCCAAGCCACAACGTCGTCACTAGCACCACAACGTCACCACACCGTCACTACAACGTCATTACAACGTCACTACAACGTCACTACAACGTCACTTCAACACCACTCCAACGTCACTACAATGTTACTGCAACATCACGACAACGTCATTAAACGCTACAATGTCAATGCACAAAAAATTCGTTTGCTGCAGAATGAAACGCAAATTTTGTCAAAAGGACACGAACTCTCACCTCTCATGGCTTCCCTGGTGGCTTAGCCAAAGGGCTTGAGCGAAAGGCTATGGACTTGGCTCAAGCGAGCTCGCGGACGACCAG